AAAGAAGTCCTGCATAGGAATAAGTAAAACCAGGGTGTTTTCAGGAACAGATCGTGCAACAAGGAAAATAATAGCTTTATCACGTGTATTGGCATCAACAGACACACAAACACTATCATTGACGAGGGAAGTACACAGACGGCCTGTTAGCAACCAGAGGTGCCATTATAGGACAGGCAACCGCCAAAAAATAACACAATAAATCAAATGATATTCTTGCCATTGCAGCGAATGTTTCAATCCAGTGAATCAACGTAAATCTCAGCTTTCTGCTACCCTCTCCTATGGTATTGATACCCCAATGCTATTCACAATGGGGGTGGGGATAATATATATATATATATATATATATATATATATATATATATATATATATATATATATATATATATATGTTAGCCCCGGAACCCTTATCAATCTCCCACCCCGATCTTACCTTATGGTGATCGTTCTCCACAGCCACTTTCAACGGCGTCTGTCCCTGCTTGTCCCTCACGTGCACAGAAGCCCCATGTTGCAGCAGCCAAGTCACCACTTCTGCCGTTCCATCGCAGGCCGCCATATGCAGGGCACTCCACCCAGAGACATCCAGGAGATTAACCTCTGCTCCCTATGTAATGTTATAAGAGGATAGATTAGAGGAATCTGTAACGGTTGTAGTAGAAAAGGTTTATGGATGAGACATTGGCTAGTTCCGTGATCGAGAGGTAATGGTCGTTGGAGTTTTGGAAATTACATTTTCGTTTGAAAGAGATGGAAATATAATCACAAAACAGCTGATGAAGAAGTAAATTCCAGGTGAATGCAAATATTTCTTATCTTTTAATAATAGCCCATTAATGAGTCACACTCCATCACTCGCGTCAGCAAATGGTAATGAAGTAAAAGGAATAAATATTAATTTAAACTCATTAGTGATTAATGATTATTCCGCATGTTTTCATGCCACTTATTGCAGTTATTGGCATAAAAAGCCAGCCTTTCTATTCTTATTAATATGTACAAAAGGTTTTAAAATTCCAAACTTGCTGTTGGCATCTAATTTGCAGAATTAGCAACGAATGATTTTCGTAAACTGATATTACTGCGTTTATAAATATTGTACTTAAATGAAATAAGTTCTCGATTTATTTCAAGATAAAAAACATTAGAATCCATTAAACACCTAAAACTTTTTGCTGTACTATTAAAACATCTGTCATGCATATCTGCTATTCCACGTACTGTACTGTACTGTACTAAGAATGGAACTGATGTGCTCTGCAACAGTGTAAAGAAGTCCTGCATAGGAATAAGTAAAACCAGGGTGTTTTCAGGAACAGATCGTGCAACAAGGAAAATAATAGCTTTATCACGTGTATTGGCATCAACAGACACACAAACACTATCATTGACGAGGGAAGTACACAGACGGCCTGTTAGCAACCAGAGGTGCCACTTTGGCGACTTTGCCGCTAGATTTGGCGTCTCTTGGTGGGAAATTTTTGCCACGTTTTCTCGTTGTTTAGCGATTTCGTGGCGCTTATTCCAGGAAAATATAACGTGGGTCAGATATGTATATATATGATTTTTTAACTATAAAAGCCAATTTTTATTTCATCTCATTTTTCGACATATTTAGCGATTTTTTTTGCTACGTTTG